CCCCATTCAAGGCTTTCTAGTACAATATTTATAAGCGTTTACAAATTAATAGACTTTAAGTTTCCATGACACCCTTACAACTCCCAAAATAACTTAACAAATTCCTAAATAATTAAAATACAAAACCTTTGTTATTCCAAAGCATATTAATGGTTTCAAATTGTTTTCTCCAAGTCTACTGATGAGTCAAAATTATATTATATATTTCACCATATTCTTAGTATAATTTGATAATTATTTCGGTAGAATTTTGATACTTTACTTTATATTTTCAATATAGGACATTTGATTTCTTCTGGAGCAAAACGTGACCAAACGGACGAATTTTGGAGTGATCAAATTGGAGGACGTTCGTGTGTTCCTTAGCTTGTTCGTGTCAAAATCTCAGCAATTTCTACCAAGCGGTTATTTTCTGGAGATTAAATGAAGGAGCAGTGCGCGTTGTTGGAAAGTGACGTTGCTGAGCTTAAACTGCGTTTTTGGAGCCCAATATGACTTCAGATGGGTTCGTGGCCTTCTAGAGAAGTGTTCGGAATAGTCAAAGCTTTAAATCCAGCTATTTTGGGCTAGTTTTGGAGCTGATTTGGGCCCAAAACATGGTTGTATAGATTTTTTGGCGAATTTATCAAGTCAATTTAGGATTATATTACCTATTTTATTTTAATTTATTTAGTTTCCTATTCTTATTCTAAGACCTTTTATTAGGAGGATTTTATTTAGAGTAGTATAAATAAGCTTTTTAGCAGATCTAGGGTTTTTTTTTTTTAGGGAGAACGCATGCAATTTTTGTAAAGAAGATTTTGGGCAACGCTTAGAGATTTCAAGACTTTTACTTTCAAAGTATTTTCACTCTTTTTCTATTTCAATAAAGACTTTATGATTTTTATTATGAATATGCATAACTAATTTTCTTTTGCTAGGGTGAGGCCATGATCCTTAGCAAGAATATGTAGTCTCTTTTTAATTGCTTATGAATTCATGCATGCAAGTTTTGGATTGTTAATCACTGTGTTTTAAACTATCTATTTGTCTTAGTGATTCGCGACCATTAAGATATTTAGAAAAGTAATTTGATGCAATTCTGGCAGAGGGCTATCCCTAAAATTGACTAAGGCTTCTTGTGGTTAATATGTGTAACCTCTTAGGATGGACGACACGTTTTAAGGGTTATATGGTTTTTCAAAAAGTTTTCACAAAACTTAATGAGTCTTGCATGTTCACATTCGATCTGGACACCATGGACGGGTTGCATGTTAGATATACGTTTTATGTTGGAGGTTCCAAGTAGGATATACTCTAGGAAAACCTAACCTTCAAAATATGGATGTATGGTTCATAAGTAATTAGAAGAGTTACATAAGATTGTTAGAGTGACGGCAGAACCCTAGTATCTTCTCACTTTAAATTCCAAAAATTGTTTCTTTCTTCTTCTTTAAAATTGCAGTTTTTAAGTAATCTTTTTAATTAAATTCGTTTTTCTTAATTTAGGTCATTAAATCACCCTTTTCCAAAATTTTGTTCTAAATAATTAGTTGAGAATTGATTTGGCGTTAATCTATTTAAATTAATCCTTGTGGAGAACGATCTTGCTTGAGCCAACTATAATACTACAATCTTGTTTCTCTTGCAAGTATTTTAGGTGTTTTTAACCCTTTTTGCACAGGTGGTAAAAATCCTATCATCCACCTCCCGCATCATTCTCATTTTCTCAACAAAAAAAAACTTGTCCTCAAGTTTCAATTGACCTCTTTTCTTTTTTTTTCTCCTCGATCTTTTGGATGTCCAACCAAAATGTTCCACAATACCCAATTTAGCACCAAAATTTTCCAAGTTCCTATACACCATGCACACATTAATGTTTTCTTCGTGAACATAATCACCTTGGAATAGTGCTTCCAAATCACTTCTTCAAATGAGCCGAGAGAATTGAAATCGTGTTGAAAAGTTCTTCTATCAAAGAGCTAACCTCTCATATCTTGTGCAACGAAACTGTCCCAAAAAGGATCATGAACTCTACGGATATTAAGTGCTTGTACTCCATTATATAGTTGTCCATGGAACTCTTCAACCACATCTTCATCGCCTTCGTATTGATCATAAACCGGGGCGGAATCCCATTCGGCCAAGTTATCGATTACATCACTACTTTCTGTATATTCCCCTTTCATGCCAAACTCCATGTTGGAACGTTTTTTCAACCTCATTAGATGCACAACAAATCTCACATGCACCATCTGGACAACGATCAAAATTTGGAGGAAGATTGAGATTTAGAAAATCGTTACTTGAAAAATCAAAGACAGTCGTTTCTAGAACCCATCTAACCTCATTTACTGGAGGCAACAACATGCTTTAGTAAATTAATTGAAGATATTGTTTTGTAGAAATAACGGATTGAGGAATTGCTTCAGAATTAAGAAACTAGACTAGAAGGGCTTTCAAATCATATATGGTATGAAGGTCGATAAATGCTTAACCAAATCGAAAACTGACCAGCAAGAGAATTGATTTTGTTTTCACGACAGCACTAATGCTCTGTGGTGTTTTGCCTATATCTGCACACACAAAATTCGGTTTGATGCACGGTTTGTTGCGTTGGAAACTAGACCTCCACAGCTTTCCAGTGATTATGACTCTCTAGATAAAAGTCACGAAAATTGAGTTGGTTTTGAGGACGAACACAGATGATGTGTGTAGCGCTACCACCAGGATTTCAGATAAAAATTTGAAAGGCCGCTCTGATGCCACTTAACGTAGGAAAAACCAAGGGAGTCTCGAGGAGATGGGGGATGATAACCTGGGATTCGCTCAACTAGGGGCAACGGAGCTTGCTCACGTCGCTAATCATGGATTCGCTCACACGACCAAGCCAAATGCTTGATTTTAGAAGGAGCAATCACTCTCTTTAAATGCACAAAACAAATACAATTTCAATTCATTCAAATCCCCTATTCAAGACTTTCTAGTACAATATTTATAAGCGTTTACAAATTAATAGACTTTAAGTTTCCATGACACCCTTACAACTCCCAAAATAACTTAACAAATTCCTAAGTAATTAAAATGACACGCCCCGACCCTAATATTCCCTAAATAATAGGATAGACACGTGCTGGCCGACACCCGAAGGTGACAAAAGCCATTACTTGATACAAAAGCTAAGAATAAGAAATAAATAAAAGTTAGAAATTTAAAATACAATGAAATAATAATTTAGGAACGTGCTCAGAGCATACAACTAAACCTAATTACTAAAAAGAATTAAGATAAAATTGAATGAATAAAGAAGTGGGTCCTACATCGAGAGGATTCAAAGATGCTGCTGCGGAAGTGTCTTGACGCCGGGATTAGGTGCCTTGATCCTAAGTCCTGAATAGGGGCGCAAAACAAAGATGAGTGGACCAAGTTCATAAATATATATAATAATAATAATAAAACAGTTATCAATGTACTAACCCCCACAGTTTATATATAATGAAAACTATTAGCATAATAAGTGATGGATTTAATAAAAATCCTAGCATGCCAAAAATATCTCAAAAGTCATATCGCGGAAACGCATCGCGAAAATCAAAACAGTAAACGTATCGTAGATCGTCTCGTAAGTGCGGTGTGCTGCTAAAAAGATCACCAAATAAATATATCTCACGGCCCAATACATGCTCCGTGATCTCTGTGCCCGTAGCCAGAGATTACCAACTCCCGACCCAATGCCTGCTCCATGTCCCTAAGCCCGTAGCTAAGGATTACCAACTCCCAGCCTAAATGCCAACACCAGATCCTCGCCCCAAGCAGCATAGTGTCCACTAGGTACGCACAAATAGTTACGCCTCTCATAAATAACAACTTCATAGTATAAAATCATTCATCGTCTATACTATAAAGAGGGGTTTCTAAAACATGTTCTAGCATTCTATCGTCATTCATTAGATAGTCTACCAGATCATGGTTTTTATAGAAAATATGATATATTAAAATATAGCTCAAAATAGGCTAACATTTATTTCCTAACCAAAAACACGAGACGAAATCAATAAATTCAATAAACAAGCTTAACATAAATCGAATCATAAATTCGTAGGCATGCTAATCATTTATGCAATTAATTTATAAACTCATGCCATTTTAGAAGGGGTCCACTCACAGTACTTAGCTGCCAAAAACTGCGCCACTAGTGAAGACGGAAGCGTCACAATAATTGCCCCTAAGCACATTAAATGGTACAATTAATAAAATTATATTAAGACAATTGAATTTGGAAAAACGGACGTCGGAGACGGATTTAGGACGTCGTTTTACCCTAAGAAGGGTCCTAGATACATTTCGTAAAGTCAAAAGAATATTCCAGAGAATATTCCCTACCAGAATATTCCACACAAAGGGTTTGAGTTGAAAACAAAATAAAAGGATTTGAGTTTTAGGTTGAATGAGTTAGAGAGTTAAAAGGGTTTTTGGGCTTAAAGCCCTTAACAAAAACCAGCCCAAGGCCCTTATTTTAAAAACAACAAATAAAATAAATAATAAAATAGAAATGGTTTTTTTTTTTTTTTTTTTTTTTTTTGAAGAGCAAGAAAAGTTCATTCCAGGGCAGAGAGGCAAACGAGAAACAAGAGAGCCTACGAAGAGGCAAATAGAAATGGGTTTTGGGTTGGGCTCAGCAGGAAATGCCAAAGGCCTTGGGGTTTCTGGGCTACCGGATTCAAATGAAGAAGAAGACCGGAAATTCGGCCGGAAAACCATCCAATTTTAAACGGCCATAACTTTGTCACTACTCAACAAAATCAATTGAAATAAGAACGAAAGTTGTAGCCCTCGAAGAGACGAATAGAATGGTACCTCACACGATTTAAGATTCAAAAACAAATTTTAAAAGGAAAATAAATTCCCAAACTTTGTGAAAATACAAAAATACCTTTTATGTACAGTAAATCCCGGAACGGATTGTTACATAAAATACAAAACCTTTGTTATTCCAAAGCATATTTATGGTTTCAAATTGTTTTCTCCAAGTCTACCTCCCGCATCATAGTTGAAGCAGTGCAAACTCTGAGGGCGGCGAACGGTACGTATGCACGGCACAGGCGATTGGGATAAAAGATTTGGTGGACAACTACTTGAGGATTGCATATCCTAACTACAATTATCCCGACAAGTAAGTTTGTCTATCTGTCTATCCGCCAAATGCCAGCGAAAAACAATTGCTCAATTTTTCGTCATTGGCGATTCATGTTGATATTTTATTGTTGTAATTGCAGCCTTACCCACACAGAGGAGGAAGAAGAAAAACTGAATTCCGATAAATTGCAGAGATTGGGTTGGAATTAACGGCCACTGGAGGACACTCTTATTGATTCCATTGAAAGCTAGGGGAAGGCTGGAGTCTTGAAGTAGCCAAATAAAAATCCCTTCTATAACTCCGGTAGTATATATGCTCAGCGTCCAAGTTTACTTGGCTAATTTCAGATTGATGTGTTGTTAAAACATTTATTATGCGAGTAAGAGAAGGGTATTTTATTTTTTTTATTTTTTTCACACGAGCCTGTTTGAAAAATGAAAATGTCGTTGACGTCCTTCAGGTAGGTCTTCTTGCTGACTTGCTCGGGCGGCTGCTAGAGGGCTTCATGAAGTTCCCATGTCTTGGCAAGAATTGGACCGCTGGAGTGTTTTTCTTGGCCCAAAAGGTGGACTCTTACCTTTTTGTTGGCAATAGATTGGATGTCTTCAATTTGGCACGTCAATAGAATGCCAAGTACTGACGCACTTGTGCATGCCTTCAACTTGGCACGTCCTAACATTTCACATGAAAATCCCTCTTCATTCGTTCGGAAGATTAGAGTGCTAGATCAGAAATTGAGAAGTCAATCTTCTTGTACTGATCAGTCTCCTTGTTGAGACACCAACTGCAAAAGTCTGCAATAAAGATGATGGCGGCACCGGCGAAGGAGGAGAAGGAAAGAGTATGTGTAACTGGGGCTGGAGGATTTGTGGGCTCTTGGATTGTCAAGCTTCTTCTCTCTAGCGATTATCTTGTCCACGGAACCGTCCGAAACCCCCAGGTCGTCTGCTATAATTTTTTCTCTGTTACTGCATCCCACTATGATCATCCTTACTGCTTATGTATACCGGAAATTCTCAGTTCAATTAAATGATGAACATGTCAGCTACATTGTTTTAATATTATTGGTAAGGCACCGATGACGTATTGCCACGTTTTGTTGTAGTGATATTGTTGATAATGCAAGGATAACATGTTGGTACATTTTGTTGACTAATAAAATGATCGATATAGTATCAGTTGCATATTGACGGTATTAAAAGAACAGACTGTGAGGCTGGCTACAAAACATCGGCACAAAATCGATAACATTGCACTATTAGTTCCGATGGAGGGTAATTCATGTTCAAAATGGATCATACATGTTATATTAATGAAAATTAATAAACTCATACAGATGTTAATTGTTTTCATTTTACAACTAATTAATGCAGGGGATAGCAAGTATGCTCACTTGAGCAAGCTTGAGAAAGCATCAGAGAATCTGAAACTGTTCAAGGCAGATTTGCTGGACTACAATTCACTATGTTCGGCAGTTGCAGGATGCAGCGGAATTTTCCATGTTGCCAGCCCTGTAATTCCTAGTGCTAGTGTAACAAATCCTCAGGCAAGAGTACCTGATTCACTGATACAAGAGTGATCAACTAAAAACAGAATAGAAGGAACTATCCCATGTGAAGTGATAAAGGACTAGCTAGGACTCCATAATAGAATTAACAAATTGTTATATACGTCAATCACATTTCACAATATATCATTGCGCGGTGCAATTGCAGGTAGAGTTGATTGAACCAGCTGTAAAGGGAACGCTGAATGTCCTGAGTGCTTGCCTAGAAGCCAAAGTGAAACGAGTTGTTGTTGTGTCCTCTATATCCGCTGTTTTTGTGAGCCCGGACTGGCCTAAGGGTCAAGTCAAGGACGAGACTTGTTGGTCTGCTCCCGAATATATGAAAGCAACCAAGGTATTTAGTCTACTCTTAATTAGTGAGCAATGATGTAGTACCATATTCAACAGCGCGTCAAAGTAATACATCAGTTACAATGTTGCACTAGCATTATTAATAAGTCAGTTTTGAGTGTAATTTTGGGAAGCAGGATATTTTATTTTTATTTTTAAGCTGAGCATAAAAATGATTTTTATCATTGATTATCTGGTATAGAAATGGTATTTTCTTTCAAAAACGTTAGCGGAACGGGAGGCTTTGGAGTTTGGGAAAAGAACTGGACTTGAAATCATAACTGTTTTACCTTCTCTTAATTTGGGGCCGATTTTGCAACCCACCATGAATGCAAGTAGCTGGTTTCTAGCAAAGGTTCTTAAACGTAATACCTACTTTATTTTATTTTCCACACCGTATATGCACACATTTCTTTAGAATTGAATATGACCGAGAAGTCTATCGTACTCACTTCTGCCAATATTAGTGATCCCTATTGTTAGATTGAAAGCTTATTATTAACTGAGGTTACGAGGGTATTATATATGTTTCTTATTTGTGCAATGTGGCTATGTACACCTAGGCGGGTTTGAGTCAATTGGATACAATTATTGGACGGTGGTGGATGTTCGTGATGTAGCTGAAGCAGTGCTTCATGTAAACAAGAAATCTGAGGCTGGTGAACGATACATATGCACAGCAGATGCTATTTGAATAAAGGATTTGGTGGACAACTACGTGAGGGTTGCGTATCCTAACTACAATTATCCCCACAAGTAAGTTTATCATTTCGGTGATTGAATTCGTTCATGTGTTTGTGAATGCGCCTCTATTAGGATCCATGTTGAGATGTTTAGTGTTTTATGGCAGCCTTAGCCACACAGACGAAGAAGAAAAAAACGTGAGCTCGGATAAATTGCAGAGGTTGGGTTGGAGTTACCGGCCACTGGAGGAGACTCTTGTTGATTCCATTGAAGGCTACCGGAAGGCTAGCGTCTTGGATTAGCGAAATGAACAAGCCCTTTTAATAATATATATATGTCTAGTGTTGAATAATAAGTTCGGGTCAATGAAGGAAAAATTTTGTCCTAACTAATAACAAGTATGAACATTTGAATACATAGGCAAGCTATTAACACTTTAAAGTAGACATGCATTCAAAAACAATTCATAAAACCCATGACTTTCAAAGCCTAGTATATGGTGAACCAATAAACTCTTTAACAACATTAAAGAGAAGTAAAGATTTAGAGTTTCTTTACCCTTGAAGCGCATCCTTGTTTACACAAGGGATTCACCCAAGTGGAGGGCCTTCAAGTCACCTCCAAGCTCCTTGAATATTCCTTGTGATTTTCCTCCTTTTAGTGCTCCTTTGATACTTTGAGGATTTGAGGATTTGTTCTCCAAAACACCAAAAGTTTGATGTCTCTAAGTCTCCACACCAATGATGTATTTTGTGAAGATAATATGGATGACTTAGGGAAGAAGAGATTGCTAGATATCCCTCCCCTAAGTGGCAGGCCTCTTTAGAGAAAAATGAGAGAAAGTGTTTCACCCAATTTCTTTAAGAAAACCCTAATGAGAAATGAAGCTATAAAGTTGATTTTATACTTCATTTCAAGTGAGTGGCAAACTTGTAATTAATCCAAGTTTGCTACCCTCACCCTTATGGCCGGCCTTATCTTTGTTATTGGGCTAATTGCCCATTTTGTTTTAGTTGTCATACAACTTAAACATAATGGGCCTTGTGGACCAAAACGCTTTTGAGCCCCGAAGCCCAAAACCAACTTAAAAGCCCAATACGAACCTTTCGTAAAATTAATTAACTAATTAATTAATCTTGACCATTCTTCAATTAAACCATTTAATTGCTTATCCATTTTATTTAATTTCCTCACATACATCCTTACTCGGTGTACGATCCATTAGGTTCCAATTAGCGAGGTAGTGGGCGGTTGTTACTCTTAACGATCGATTGTGAAATTGAAACCACATTTCAATTCTCCCTTAATGATTAGTGTTTGCTAATCATTTAGGGCTTCCACAAACCATGAGTGACACCTAGCAGTATGTCATGGTTACCCAAGCTAAGTAGAATTGGTTGGAAAACCTATCCAGTTGCAACTACAATGCAATACGGTCCTTCTCTAATACAATACTCTTAATCACATTGTTTGAGTGATAGTTTGTTTCATGTCTACTATCCAATGTGATACATCTCTATATGATTCCCTTGAATATGATTTGGAACAAACTTCCTAAGTCATATTCATATGCTTTGGCCAAAGACTTTAGAATCATATCTTAGAGTATTCTCCTTCCACCATGGAAGGTTAGAGATCCCTTGTTGTGCATTCATATGCCTACATGACTAGATAGCTTGACCCCAACAATGCCGTGGACACTCCGATGGAATGCCGTTTGACATGATCAAAGATCAAGGACCTAACCATTAGACATCTATGATGCCTCAGGTCAAATGACTACTTTGCATATTGCAACTTTAGAGTTCATACATGACATGTATGTTCGAACTCTCTTTTGATCGTAGTTCAATGTACTTGATTACTCTTTCGAGCACCTATGTGTTTGTCTTAGTGTCCAACACCAAATGACTTGAGACTAGTCATACTCACGCTTGAGTCAACATAACACATACTCACCTTAGCAGATTGTCAATGCCCAATTAGCAATCCTATGGCTAGGAACGTTTTAGGAATGAACATAAGAGAATGGTCTCGATAATCTAACTCACTTAGATCACTTGTCTCTTAGATCAAATACATCCCTTAGATTCCCTTATTGCTTAAACACATGATACAATAAATAGCAATTAACAATATGCTTTGCCCTACATTAAACATATAAAAGTTTAATACATTAAGTATTCCAAAAAGCTATTACATCAAATGAGTGGCTTTGTGGGCATACTTCCAACAGTCAACGACTATTTTTCCTTTAATGATTGCCCACCCTATTTTAAAATTCTGTCCTCGTCTCATGTATAAGCATTTTAAAGATGAATTTTGAAGTTTGATAAGACTTTGAAGTTATTGATGGCATGTTGATATTGGGATGATTTTGATGTGGTAGAAGAAGAAAATTGGTGAGGATTTTTATTTTTAAATAATAGAAAGGAAAAACGTATTGGTTTAAACTGCTCGAGCTAAACCAAATCAACCAATCATAATAGCAAAAATAGACAAGTCCCACAATCAATAATAGAACTTACAGCTATTAAACTCATACTATTCAAACAATAGTGCTTTAAAAGTCGAACTCAAACGGTCTCATTCTTATAAAGAGTGTAGTATAGTTGTAAATGATTCAAAATAAGTTGAATATCACCTTGTTCAAGTTTGGTTTTGTTTAAAGTTTTTCTAACTTAAGTTAGGCTTGACTTCTTTCTTATACGAATCAAGCTCGAGTGAGCTTAAAAATGTCGCTCAAACTGTTTGGAGCTAACTTACAGCCCCAGGAATACAAATTGATTGGGTTTATTGTTGAGATGGTTTTGCTGAACAAAATGATGTTGGACTTGGGAAGAGGAGAATACAAGAGTAGGCATTCTACTACGTGCGGGCAAGTCTCTAAGACGTTCATGGATTCCATGAAAATAATAAAAAGCTAAGCCGACATCCGTGTTAGTTCCGCGTAGGCATTCGTTCTTTTACGTGCAGGCAAATGGAAAAATGAAACAAAAGTTGATGAGGAATTGTTTCTCGTTTGTTGTTTTGTGTGGAAAATAAGAAATGATGACGCTTTCCTTTTCCTTTTCCTTTTCTTTTTCTTTATGAATCCGTCCTTCTCCATGCTTTTTATCTATTTCTTGCTATCAATTTCTCTGCTACTACTAGTCTGTTTACTGGTGCTAAGTTTTACCATCACCATCCACCAACCCCTCTCTCTCTATCTCTCTCTCTCTCGAGTCCCCAGCCAGCCAGCCAGCCAGCCTATCCCCACCACTTCCACCGGCCTAGGTCTGCTGCTCTTGCTGCTGGGGCCTTGTTTCTTTCTTTCTTTTTATTTTATATTTCTTGCAAAATTCATTGTTATTAAGCTTAATTAAGCTTTATTGGGGTGTTGGGTTGTGTTGGGCTTTAATCACCTTTATTCATTATTTCCTACCAAAATTGACCACCCCAGATTCCCCCAACCTCACTTCAAAATTCAATGGTATATGCATCTCCACCCCATCTCAAGCTCGGGTTTTTTTATTTCTAGGGTTTTTCTTTCTTTTCACTATCTTTCTATTTCGGGTTAATACTACTATTTCTACATTGAATTGGATTGAATAATTTGTGATTGATTGATGGCGTATCAGAGTTCTGGGTCGAGTTCCAGTCCCTCTGGATTCCAATTCCCCAATTCCAGTTCCCCTTTTGGTGACACCACCTACACCAAGGTCTTTGTTGGGGGGCTCGCCTGGGAGACGCACAGCGACACCATGCGCCGCCATTTCGACCAGTTCGGCCAGATTCTCGAGGCCGTCGTTATTATTGATAAGAACTCCGGCCGATCCAAAGGTTATGGCTTTGTGAGTATTTCTTCTTTTCACTTTATGGCAGTTTGTTTTGCAAATAAAGAATCAATGGCAGTGGGATTGTTCTGTCTCACTCACAACTTTTAGAATGACTTGGTTTCTGTTTGTATTTACATGGAGGGTTCAGGTGACTTTCCGCGAACCAGAGGCCGCTGCTCGGGCCTGTGCTGATCCAACTCCAATTATCGATGGCAGGCGCGCTAATTGTAATTTGGCTTCACTCCGGCAGTCCAGGCCACCTATGCCTTATGGTATGGTTTCTTATGCTCTTGGTTTGATAACTAACTATTTAGTCCCGCTTCGTAGTTTCCCGTTTCATGCTCAATTGCAACTAGTTCATTGTTTTCTGGTTATGTTTATCAATTTCTTTTATTACGTTCCATTGTTTTATTGACTTTGTTTTAAACACAGCCATTATCTATGGATTTGAAATAAAAAAAGAACCAAGATCTTCATTGGTTTCCATCACATTTTCATGTTAACCTTTCAAAGTACCAAAATCTACATGTATTGTTTTTACCATAGCAAACAAACACATGACGCATGACATTTTTTTATTTGCAGGACGTCCAAGACCAGCTTCTCCATACATTGGAGGCGTGCAAGCTACCCGTGGGGCTTACATTGGAGGATATGGCTACCAGCAGCCTCTTTCTTACAACTATCAACAAGGATTAGTTTATCCTCCATATGGGTGAGTTGTGCATTTATAGGATTAGGTGATAGCCATCAAGTTAATTGTAGTTGTGTAATATTTGCTGATCATCCACTTGTGTTGTATATAAGTTGTCAACATTTGATATTTGATTTGGTTAACCATGGATTGGTGACATCTCAGTAAACAACTTAGTTCTCTTCCATTGTTTCTTGTGTAGTGCGTGCAATTCAAAATATGCAATGCCATGTAGATTTCCAAAATCAGGTTTCTTCGTCATTTCCCTTGGTATTCAGGGTTCATTTTGTCTGGACTATGATGATGTGACATGGCATGATTGGTAATTGCAGGAGACGAAAAAGTGATAGTTGCAGAGGATATGTGCCCAGATCAATGTTTATTGAACAGGCAAGACTTAGGACTAGTGTTTTTTATTGAGGACCAACAATTGGGTTTTCTAGTCTCACCATTATTGATTGATCTCATACTTGAGATTTCTCATTCAAGTATAGGAGCACTTCAGCCTGTAGTTTAGTTCAACACCTTGGTTCTTGCATTGTAAGGGATTAGTTTTGGTGTCTTGTGTTGTATATTTCCATGCATTGCATTGTTTGTAATTGTATTTTCATGATGTACATTAACTCTTCCAAAGTGTCCACAGAAATTATTATATCAGCAGTTGTAATGGTTGTCTTATCCGTGCAGGTATGCAACATATGGACCTGACTACGCTTATTCACAGGTCAGTAATGCTATTAAATGGCAGCATGAGGTGGATGTCTTTCTTTTCAATGTATGAGTGAAGATATTATGTTGCTTTATTCTGACTTGCTCCCTCACTTTGTGCGCCATTTCTTTGGTAGGGTTTATACAACCCCTATGTGGGTCAGCAATATCTTCAAATATACGGACTTCCAGGGACAGCTAATACTTCTCATTATCCTTATGAACAACTGGGTCAAACCATTCCTGGTGGTCAGGGTTATCCAACAGTTCACGGATATGCAATGCCTGCTCAGCAGATAATCCAGTTTGGTGCACCCAGTGTTAATGCAGTCACAACTTCCCCAGTCCCTCAAGTTCAAGCAGCATATCCTGCAGGTACATCTCTCTGTCCTGAAACTATTGTTCTTTTTTTTTTTTTCTTCACAACTCTGGTGTCCCCCTTCCTAGGGGATAAATTAAGATTGTTCATCTTTCAGTATAAATTAGTGAAGCTGTACCACCAAACATGCAACTCATCAAACTCATAATTTATGTGAAATCAACACAACCTGAGGCTTGACCACTGTCTTGATCATATTATTACTACCTATGAGGATGTGAGATCATGATAAATTTTAGTCCTTTATCATGCACATTTTTTGCTTAAAAGGCTTACCCCCTGTTGATGCAGTGAATAGTATGAGTGTGATATGTTTAATTAATAAAGAATTATTTTTAACACAGATTTTACTCAAAGTCTTTGATTTCTATCTTTCAATTCTATAAAATACAAAGAATTTTTTTTTTTAATGACAATTTGATAGATTTTTCATCTAGATCAATGTACCATGGAGTATGTAGATAAGACTTAATTGACAAAATTCTGTGTTTTTTAATCAGGTATGGTAGCAAGTGTTGTGGCACAACCACATTTTATATTATCTGCTCCTCCTCAATATATGCAGGGTAGTGGTTCTGAGCAGAGAGCTGGGTGAGGGGTTGATTAAGGTTAGTGCCACATCATAGAATAGATTACGGTGTGCTTTGCAGTCCTATACCTATTCTTTGAGAAAATAGAAAAGAAAAAAGGGATACATCCGCCACTGGGTTCGTATGTGATTTTGAGATTCTTTATTTACTCTTTGCAGGTATTCTTAGATTGCAGCAGGACTAAAAGAAGCAAAACTGCTAATTAAGCGGCAGGCTTCAGGTCGAGCCTTGGAAATTTTATTTTGCATTCTAGAGGTAAACATATTTGGTCATTCTATGTACATATGCAAGATTTACCTATAGGACCTGCAAGTTCTGATTATACAAACCTTTTCTTCCGGCAAAAGATATGCAAAATGAATAATATTATTCTCAGCATGCCTTTGATAGCCAACTGATGATAATGTAGTTGCATATATCATTATCATTTAAAGGTGCAAATGGTTCCATATGAGGCTGTGACAACAAAGTGAGAATTCGACTATTATTCATTTGTTCTGTTTGTCTTTGTTGGACGTCCGCGTGCAAATTAGTTTAATGGGATGATTTACTAGATTGCTGTTTTCATTAACATGTAGCAGTTCATTCCAATATTCAAATTTTGTGATTTTCCATAGCCATTAGTAGCCCTCCGATTCTTCACCTAATAAACTTTACGTTGTAGTGCTTACTCAATAATTATGTAAAGGAGAGTGGTTCTTCTTGGCGCATTTTGTTTGCATACTGGATTAAATTACCGATACCTCAAGCCTCATTCGGTTTTTAAGATGGGATTGGAATGGATAAATCACAATTTTCAAGTATGTTGAAGGAAGAAATGAAAAAATTGTGACCGATGTGGAGGTAGAAGATGAATTACTCACAGAAGAAAACTTATCCACTCCAATCCTACTCAAAATGGTAGGATTAGAAGGGAGAAGCTTTCTACATGTCTAATCTCATTCTAATCCCCTGAAAGTGAAAAATCATTCTCCTCTACCCTCACTATAACTTATATTTAGAGGGTTCCATTCCAATCCAATCCAATCCAATCCAAAGATAACAAACGAGGCCTAAAAGAATATATAGCTGGACTTGTTTTTGTTGGTTTCATTTTGTGTTGATCTGGATGTGCTTTCAGTCTAGTTATGATTTAAGGCTTGACATCCCAAAGTCTTTGTTTCTGGATTTATGCCCTCTGTCTTATACATACATTTTTCTGCAGGTCATACATAGTCATGGTCACCAGAGAAGTCAGATGTCAGTGTCACTCCAGATGGCATAGAAGGATGGAGGATGCCAGCTGCTCTTCCCTCCCAGTGCGACATTAATCCTCGGTGCATCTAAACCCGTGTTACTCAGGAAAAGTGGCAGGTTGTCATGGATTGGTGGGTGCTAGAAGCAGGTTTCTAGCAGCCAGATAGGACTAAAACGAGTCTGAAAAAACATGTTAGAATCAACATATGATTCTTTTATAGTCTGCCTTGTCCCGGCATTTTGGGTGTATAGTCTGGTGTCACGTGTTGGTGGGCGGCCCATCACACGCGTAATGTCATTCAGGTATTTGTGCATACTAGTTATAGGATTTTCATTCAACTCGGAAAATCCTGTAATTTAGAGAGTTAAGAGTGCCTGGCTTCAGAAGGGGAGAAGCTTCAGGCATGTTCTGTTTATTTGGAAAGAACAATTTTTGGGTGTATTATACATATATAGTAAAACAGTGTCTCGCCTATTGATCCTTATGATTTGAACGATATGCTTGTTTGTATATCATTTGAAAGATTGCTCGTTATGTTATAGATAAACAGGGTGGTCATGGTCACTCGATCCAGAGTTCACAAATCATGCAACACGATGTTTGACTCGTGCCAAAAACAGTGTGACATGGTCCTCTTTGCCAAAATGATGGGAAAAAAATCGGAGGAACTATCCGTGGAGTAAAATCAAGACCCATTGCCCACACAAAGGATTCATAACCACAAAATTGAAGAGATAAATTAGAAACGAAGGCAGAGAAGCTGTTAATAAATGTCTCTAAAAGTCCCCAAACCAAACTCTCACCGGCACGCTCCTGAAAACGTTGCACACATTCCTCTGTCAATCTCAACTCCATCGACGCTCTACACTCGAAGGGGCCTTACCACCGCGCAGGACGGCAGATTTCTCATTTATTCAACTGTAATTCCTGAATCCCTCCATCAAATTTCTTGAGATCTGGGGTTTGATCAATTACTCCCCCTCCGTGCTCAACAAGTTTCTGAGGTGGGAGGACAAGGGCGGTGAGGCTGCCTCTCTGGGCACTGAAGCGCTTGCATGTTCTCTGAAGGGCTCTTCCACTCCCATCAATGAGAGCCCCCAAGAAGAGTGTGCCCCATGGTTGCAAGTCTTTTTGTGGCATTGCCTGCTTTGCTTCTAAAAAGGTATGTCATTCGGCTGTCTTTGCAGTCCCCTGAATTAAACTTGGAGCTCTTTTTTGGTAAAGAAACTTGGGCACTTACCACCGGTCTAATTCGTATAAATATATATATATTTATATATGTGACAATTTACAATACTCGTCAGTTATTGCATGCATAACATTCTTATTTGTGGCTCCTGCGACTGACCTTGTCACTCCTCTATGTTCACGCTGCTATTTTCGTGGGAATTATCAGGTTGGTGGCACTTCTTAAGATTTCAGGACGGTGAACCGATGAAGAGATGGGAGGACAATCCTATAAATTTACGTTCAGAGGAGACACTTGTATGACCATCAAACTCTTAAGTTGAATAATGACTTGTTTTCTTTTGCAAAAGCCGATGCTTCATTGGATGCAGACAACAACCTAGACGTGCAGGGAGGGGCGGAAGGAATGAATGTCGAGAGAGCGATTTCTGGGATTACAGAGGTACAGGTGTGTGAAATACTGGGTTTTTGTCTGTGATCTTATAAAGTTGTAAAGCATGTCCTAACCATCACAAGTTTTGCAGATGAAAGAGATTCAATAGAAGATTGTTTGCTTCGAGGTGTTAGAATTACAGATGGAGAAAGAATGGCAGGGGTAAAAGAAAGAAAGGAAAATACAACTGATGTACATACAATTCTTCCCAAACATCCACCAAATTAATCACTCTGATTTTCTATTCCATTTGAAATTAATGATCCTGAAGGATTTGACAGCCTGCAAAACCAAATACAGCTTTCGCACTTGCAGTAAACGAAACAGGATTCAGTTTTGTGCACCATCCTATCTAGATTGTCTAATTTAAGCGTCGAATCTCCTTTCTAAGTACTGCACAAAGATATCGCAGTATCAGCATCGCATGTTGGCATGAGAAATAAAGAATCTGGATTCCAGAGCACAACACACAGTACAACTTAGAAACAAACGTGTCCAAGTCGAATAGATACCTGTCCGGCGACTGTATACAGTCTGTTGTACCAGCCATTGGTTGCCATCCCAAGTGCTGAAAACAGGTGCTTGCAACTTTTTTTACCGGGTTTTTGTAGCGAATACTCGATGAAGCAATTCGAAATTAAATAAAAAAATTACTTCTGAATTGATCTCATCCTTTCTTTAATTTAATAATTTCAGAAGCCCTGACGATCATCCTTATCGTCATCAAATTCGAGCCATTATAACTCATGAACAATCCTGAGTTGGTATGTATGACTATGAGTGGAGAATTACCTTTAGATGCTTTGCAATCTATAAGTTTTGCTGCCACTCCTGCAGGCCTTTGCCAGCTCCTATCTAATCCACTAACCTTTGAAGTCCTATATTAAAATTAATGCAAAACTAATGAGTAAATTAACAAAAGCTTCCACTGGCCATGTGTTTGGACCTGATTTTACACTATCAGCCCGAGCAATCGATGCCATTGAGTGAGCATAGCTTCCAACCGTCAGATAGAAAAGTAAAGATATTTTTGTTATTGTTAAAGGATAATATTATGGTTTTTATCATAATAATTATCTTTTAATATGAATTATCTTGGCTTTTTCTTATCCAAGATAAATAGGATGCAAACTATATATGTGATATGGTAGTAAACAACACAGTTCAAGTTGGGATTCTTATCACATGGCATGGCTGGGATGTGAAGGTTATGATAGGCTTTAGCCTATAGGTGGGATAATGAAATGGTGATGTGATGTGGTAGAAGGTTAGCCTACATGCCGTGTGAAAGGCTACCAAATATATATATATATATATATATGTAATTGGTGGTTGTTTAGATGAAGGTTATCCAAGCAACGTGATCTTGAGATTTGATGTGATAAGGCTAAGCACAAAGATCGAATTGGGTTGCATTTTTGGCTAAGTTCAGAGTCTTGGGAATAGTAAGGCTTATCTGATGCAATCAGTGGAAGAGTTCTAATACATGACAGAAGCCTATATCAACTTATCAACCAATGCGCATATGTCCCTATAAATACAAAGGCAGTGGCAACGGAAAAAATGACCTCCAACTCAACACACAAATTGCCATGCGCAAACCCTCGCCCTACACAAAACCTCTCAAACATCTTGAGATTTTTATTATCTTTTTCGCCAACACATCTTCAGTTTGGATAAACAGCACTGTGAAGGCAACCGGCGAACATCTTCAGTTTGGATAAACAGCATTGTTGCCGTAGAATCAGCCGACTGCGTAGCACCTTCAGTTTGGATAAACAGCACTGCATCGAGGCAAACTGGTTATCTATCCAAATCTCGGTCAAGAAGGATTTTCGAATCCTTATTGGCAGAGGTCATCTCATTAGTCTTCTCGGCGAAGTGAGGTGTTACAAGTTACTAAATTCGGCACATTGAAAGCCGAATTTGATATTGAACTTCGCAGAACTAGCAGCCTTATCTTCAGGCTATAGAACCCGAGGGTTGAGACGTGTTCCTTCCTCGGTCGCAGTCGCAAGATCAAGAAGTCAGCAGCGCACCCAACGCAACATCAACATATTTTACTCTTCTCAGCCGACGAGTTGGCATGCCCGCACATAACCGAAGGACATAGTTAGCTCATTAGTTACTCGGCCTGCGTGCCACGTAGGCTTGGTAGTTTTTAGGGTCAACATTTTGCCACGCCTAATGGGACCCAATGCTAAAACTACAAAGTTCACATGATAGATCAAGATTTCAATTAGGTTCCGTTGGAGATTTGGCGCCAAGTAAAGCATTGCTACAAGAAGAAAGTAAAACTCCTTGAGAAGTTGTCTAGAAGATGGGGGCAATTTCCGCTCCAGCAACAATCAAAATTCGGCCTAGGAAAATTGTCAAGACGGCCAAAGAATAACCTAGGCCACTTGTTTGTTTGGTCGAGACTGAAAGTGTGGTAGGCCTAGAAGAAAAAGTTCAAGTTTCTGAGTCATTAATTGATTCAAAAAATGATTCGTAAAAGGAGTGTTTCAATGACGAACAAGACCGATACACAGCTTCAAACCATTAAATCACATCAATTGATATGGTAATTGAAGACATAGGCCTAGCCGAAAAAATCACGCCAATCGATATGATTATTGGTGATAAAGCCGATATGGAGAAATCATGTTCGGCTAAGTTGTTTGAGTTAAAAGCCGAAATGGCAAAATTATTATGCATGGGGGCATAATAATTGTTCAACACATTTGGCGGCCGATGATAAAAAAAATTTCGTTAAGCCGAACAAATTTGCAGATGATCTTTTATTCGGCTTTGGAAAATCTCAAAGTGAAATTTTTGATGTAAAAAGATCTCGGCTTGGAATAAAGTATCGTTGGCCTCCTCCTGATTATGATTTAGCCGTTTTCAATTTCTTTTGCTAAAATATATATATATATATACATTATTTTCTTAACCATTCGGCCTTTCAGGCCGATGCATAAGAAAATAAGGGGGGCAACATTTGGGGCGGCAACCCAAAAGATGGTGTGCTCGGCTTAAAAAGTTGTTTTTTTTTAATACATTAGCCTAGCGGAGGAAAGATGTTTGCAGAAGGCTACCCGTCGTGGGAGCTTTTTTCGAGTCGAGTACCAGGCCAAATTCACACTCGGTCAGGGGCGGAGCCACCAAAGGACTAGGGTAGTCCCCGTCCCATCCTGACTTCATCTGAGGTGTGAACCTCATGGAAGAAGAAGAAGAAGCAAACGACGTCGTTAAGCTGTTTTGGTTTTAAATCTTTTCGGCTGTCTAATGAAACGATAAGTTTGGCAGGGGAGTTTTAAAAGAGATGTGCAATTTTAAATGGACAAAGCAACCCCACTTCTGATTCGATTCTCTCACCTAACAGTAATATAAACCCTATAATTTTCTAAAGCAATCCACCTTCTTTATTAGCAGACCTCTCCCCCTTTTCCTTCTTTTTCTACTTCTTTGTATTTTCTTTAGCCTTCCACAAACTACCTCTTACTTGGTTGTCTGGGTTTTTACATTTTTTTCTTCTTAGTATTGAATTTAAGAGAATTTTTTCAATTTTGTGAGGATTACACAAATTGCATATGTCAACATGTTATGAATTCAACTTTATATATATATATATATATATATATATATATATTATATATATATACAGGGAGCTTAAGGGGAGGGATCCCCATTTTTTCAAAAAAAATGGGGACACGCTCCCCACCGTTAGATTGACTTTAATGAAATTGTGTGGTTGAGATTAAAACACAGGCCATAGAATCTCAACCACAGGATTTCATTTAATTCAAATCCAACGGTGGGGAGCGTGTCCCCATTTTTTTGAAAAAAATGGGGATCCCTCCCCTTAAGCAATTCCTATATGGAAAAATTAGTATTCGGTCCCTAGTTCTTACTGTTTATTAACTAAGACCTTATTAGTTATCAAATTTTGATTCAAGTCCCTAACATTAATGTGATAATGAATTTACATGTTTATTATATAATTTTTTAATATAAAAATTAGTAATTAATTTAGGGTTTAATACTCATACCTCTATTAAACTTCTAATTAATTTTCAATTCAAACATTTCCAAAATAATAAAAAAATTAAAAATAAATTAAGTTTGTACCTATTAGTTTGTTTATATATATAAAAAGATTCTTAATTTTTAATCTTAAATGTACCCATTCATATAATTTTTTAATTTTTTTAATCTTAAATGTACCCATTCTCAAATATATCAATTTGTTATATGTAAAATGTACCCTTTTTTAATATAAATTCCATTCAAAATTTTTAATCCATGTTTAAACTTATATGGGTACATTCTTTTTCGTTGATTTGAGAATGTATCCATGTTTTGGTACAATAACTTTTTTTTGTTAATTTTGGTTAATGTACCCATACATATATGTATACACACACACACACACAATATAATAGAGAATATAATTTATATTTTATTATTTTTAATCTCATAAATTATGGGTTTTATTTAAAATCTCATTAATATAAACAATTACAAATTTCAATTTTTAATTTTTAATTTAAAAAATATTAGTAACTTACATTATTACATTAATGTCAGGGACCTCAATCAAAAACTAAAAACTAACAAGGTTTCAATCAAAGAATATTGATAGTTAGGGACCGCATCCAAAGTGTCCCTTCCTATATATATATATATATATATATATATATATTTGTGAAATGCACCTCCTCATTCAGAATTCTGGCTCCGCCACTGCACTCAGTGGAGGTATTTGATTTCCTCAAGTATCAGAGAGAATTGGGAGTTTGACAGCTGATTTCATCAAAAAAAAAAATATATATATATATATATATATATATATATATATATATATATATATAATCACCTCAGTACCTTGCATCAAGAGTAAACGACTAGGATGGGCCATCTTTTGCCGATACCATTCAATGCATGCATGCAGCGTTTTGGGGGTACTTCTTGTTCAATAATCTCGGCAGAAAGAAATTATAGTGGTGTGTTCGTCGAGCTCAACAATGTTTTCGATCTGTACGTCTCGACCGAGAAAGTTAGGAAAGTTAACCAACGACCACCACGTTTATTCGGCAAATAACAAGTGAGAATGAGTATAGGAGCTGCTTGGTAATATTTGATACTCGGTGCAGAAGAGAAATAAAAAGGAGGAATCTAGAAAAAATAAGGGTGCAAACTGTATGCTCGACAATTAAAACTTTAGTCTTGCCGAGACTACATATTATACATATAGAGTTTTGGTGTTGGACAGAAATCATGCAGCATTTGCCGAGTTTGGTGTTGTCGGTTCAGGTGATGGTGTCGACAAAAAACAAATTATTTTCTTAATCATTCGGCCTTGCAGGCTGATGCATGAGAAAATAGAGGGGCAAGCGTAGCTTGGAAATCAATGCCAAAACTAGAAAATAATACAAATAACGAAAGGCACGCCATGCCTTTGAGATTGAACATGCAAGGTCGCACCAGAGGCAGAGAATACAAGGACGCAAGGCACGCCATGCCTTTGAGATTGAACGTGCAGTCTATTTCGTACGAGTAAAAAGAAGAAAAAAAATTCTCTCCTCTTCGTGAGAGTTCCTTCTCTCCGTTCGTGAGAGTTCCTTCCCCCCTTGTGAGAGTTTGTTTTTAACTGCTTCCTCCCTCTTCTATCACCAGTCCTGGCCCTGCGTTTTGTCCCCTTTGTTTCGGCCCAATTTACCTGCACTCCTAGCTCTGATCCCCTCTTCTTCCCCATCCTATCCATCCACCCTTGCTCTGTCCTTCCTCTGTCTCACTCAATTTGGGCTCTGCAGACCATTTTTCTTCTCGCGACTTGTCGCGACCTCTCGGAAGGTGCGTACAGCTCCGGCTTCGATGGAAAC